TTAAGAGACTGGTAATAGAAATTTGCAGTGATTTTGCTCCATCAGCCTGGCATAAAGACTTTGTGTTGACATGAGGCTGTAACCCCAGACAGCTGGAAATTCCATTTTTAAGTGCTGGCAGTTTTGTAGAAACATAGGTTCACACAACTTCTCAGAGAGGCTTTGGAGAGGTCACAAACTGAAGTCAGTCTGTGGGATCTATGCCCTGTGACAGAAGAGGGCTGTGGGTAGGCCTGTGCCAGCACCTCTTCAGCCTTCAGCAGAATTCCTGAGTTACTTGGAGACCCATCTGTGTTTCAAGGAATTCATTGACGCAAACATGAAGTTTTCTGAAGAAGGAAAACATATCTGACATGGATTCAGAGTAGCAAGTAGTTTTTAAGAGAGACATTCAGATTTAGGAAAGTTTTAGTGGTTTGTATCTGTGCAGGATTTAGGAAATGAAACTTGAAGCCCTGACAGTTTATTTTTCCTAAAACAAACAAACCAAAAAATACTCCATTTTAGAAAACTGTTGTCTGATTTAAGAAGAACTTTAGTTCAGAAATTTGTTTCTTTATAGAAGCTGAGCAACGTGAATATGTATGCACATAAAACATATGAACAGATGATGCCCTGACTGGCAGTATTGCCCGTCTAATGTTCATACATAATCATCCTCGCCCTTCCCAGTTCCAGGAATCTTCCTGTTTATGCAGTAATTGTCACAGCATGATGAGACCTTCTTTGTAGGAAAACCTGTTTAGTTATTTTGTTTACTTTAGAGTAATCTGAAGCTCAAGAAACAGTTTTAAATAGAATTTCTAATAACTGGATTTACAGTTGTAAACAAAACTTTACAGTTAAGGTGCCATCTGGGAACTATATACAAAGAGTGTTCTAAAAGCACGAGAAATGCAGATTCATATGAAGTTATGTATGTTATGGGTTTTTAAAAAATATATATTTCACACTTTTTAAATTTAAATGAAACTCAAAATGAGAACACGCAAAATCTGGATGCACTGGAAACACCTGCTCACATTATTAATATTATAACTATACTCAAAAATATAGGTGAGAAAGCAGTATATACCTATGGGAAGAACTAAATCAATATAGCTACCCACTTGTGCTCTTTAATTGAAAGAAATCAAGAAAATGAATTCTTTAAACATGGATAATCCCTTGTTTGAGTTCTGGCAACAAAAGGGAAAAAAGCTTATAAAACTGAAGCCCAAGTGATACACCATAAGAATGCTTTACAAGTAACTTACCACACAGTTTAATATTTACACAATCTCTTTGAAAAATGGAATTTCCACTGATTATTTACAGATTTCACTACTATTATAATCTCATCCAATCTTTCTAAGACACTCTGCTTATATAAATAAGGATTAGTTGGCAAAGTTAATTATTATAAAAGAAAAATTATGGCTAAACTGGGGATGAAATAGAGTCTAGAGATTGTCTGTTTGCCGCCTTCTACTTACAGGTGCTGAGGCAGTTTTGTTTAGGACCCTGGATATTGCGAAAAGGTCTTTTTGGGAGGTTGCTGTACACAGTGGAGAGACCCGAACTAACCTTGGAAATATAATGCTGGAGAGCTAATTGCAGCAGCATTAAATAATTTATGTGTAATTATTAGGGAAAGTGTAATAATGTAACAAAATCAGATGTCCAGATCTTCACAATATTCCTGTGTCACACAGATTATCTGATCTATTCCAAATAGGAAACTTTGGTTCTCAAGACATTCCCCTTCAATCATTGAAATGTCAAAATGCTTAAGAGTTGCTGTTGATTTCAACAGGAAATAGGAATGAATTGGAGAGCTGGTCCTATCCAGTTGTTGTCCACTAGTATTTTAGAGTAATTTCAATTAGCTTGAACTCAGACTCAGAAAGTCAAGATATTAGCTTAACTGCACATCAAAAGAGGCAGCACAGTTGCAGGCTGGTGTGATCTCGCAACAAGGCACAGACTTACATTTTGGAGTTGGACAAGGTTGGGCTCTCTGACAATTAAGGCAAAAATTGTTGCATACTTTGGCTCCTTTTCAGGTATTCCTACAGACCTTCCAGTTGTGATCTGTTGGCCTGAAGTGACCTTGCAAGGGAGTATACAGCAGAGGGGAGTGCAGGGCTTTTCCTGTGCTGTGCACACATCACCACTGCACGCCCCCACTTCAGGAACTGCCTGGTACCTCAGTGGCTGCTTTATCTGATTAAGAACACAGGACTACACATTTTCACTAAAGACTTCCTCAATTTTTTTGAAGAAAATTGTTTGACATGACATAATAAGTTCTTTGAGAAGTGTCCTTACATGGCTGTCAGGAGGTCACTAAACAAGCCTCTCAGATGAGTGTGATTAAAAGAGACACATCTGGACTTCGTGAAAAGTATCCTATATGAATAGTTAGAAGAATTAGAAATATATTTCAATAATAACAAAAGTGATTAATCTGTATTTTAGAGGTGAAATCTATTTAAACCTAGTATAATTAAAATAGGAATTTTAAAAAAATTCTTTGTGAATGTGTTTGAAAAATCATGTTCTGATCCCAACAGCTCTGGTTATTCAGACAACTGGTGAAAAGCTCTTCAGACAGTCATTCAATTTATTCAATAGAAGACAAACCCTATTAAATATATCCCTCTTGATGGATGTGTGTGTTTAACTTTCAAAGGTGGAGATTCCTCAGGGAATCCATTCCAGTGCTGCATTATCCTTACTGCTGTCTTCCCAAAAAGTTAATGTGGTTCTTCCATGCTAAAACTTAGGCTTATTATTTTTGCTGTTGCCTGACACTCCCTGGAAGTACAAATTATTCTTTTTCTCATTCCAGAGATGCATACATATCTAAAGACTGCTATCTTCTTCCAAGACTCCTTTTTTTCCTTCAGGTTAAACTTTTAACAGTCTTTTTAACCTTTCCTTATATGACACATCTTCCCATATTCCGGCTGCCATCACTGCTTTTCTAGATTCTGATTAGTAGCCCACAATTTTTGGGTAAGACATGGAAGGTCTTGTCCAAAACCAGAAGTGTTTGATTTGTGAAACAATGCTGGTTGTAAGTGAAGTGGGAGGATTAAATCATGCACTGCTTAGACCATCCTCTTACCCTCCAGTTTGCAGGAACTCTAGGGGAGAAGGATTCTCCGGATTCACACACAGTAAACAGAGTCAAGAATCTGGAATTATTTAATGTAATTAAAAAGGCACTAAGCACTGCCTTCGTGTCCTTTCTGGTGGATTACTTGATGTAGAGTGAGTGCCATCTGGAGGTTAGGAAACATGGGGCTCTGGATGCTTTCATGCTGAAAAACAAAATTCCCGAGCTTTACAAATGAAATGTTCTTACACAAGTAGGAGCTTGAGCCTGACAGATACTGGGCATCCACCACTCAGTGTAAAGTTTGTGACCCAGAGTAAGGCATGCAAGTGCAACATCTCTTGCTGTTATGCAATCACCAGTAAATGTGTAACCTCTGAGTTGCCTGCGCAGTTTCCAGAAAAAGCTCTGGACAGCACAAGGACAAGGAAAGTCTTGATCTGTTCTTTCCTCTCCTGCTTTCAGGTGTGTGAAGACAAATGAGTTCCTGGTGCAGGTTTCTGCTCACAGGAGAGAGCAGAAAGCATTTCAGTTCAACAAGAAGTTTTAAAAAGAAAGTTCCCATTTGGTGTGTCTGAACTCAACTCTCCGTCATCATTTATGTCTGCACAGAGTGGAACCAGCCTTCTTCACCTGGACTGGTTGCATGATGTGGTCTTCCTTCTTTAGGTAACTTAGTTGTCATCTTGGAAACCCTGATCCTCCATTTCTTACTGTGCTGAGGAAGCCAAGAGGAGAACATTTAGAGTTGTGATTTCAGGGGGTGTGACCTGGCTCTTCTGCTAAAGTGCCTTTTTTTTTTTGCCTGAGACCACTTGAATCAGTGATCACACTGGTCACAGTGGTCACCTTGTGTGCTAAGCTGCCTTCTGCCACTGAAGTCTAATCATAAAAACAAATTGCTTTGATTGCAAAGCGTGAGTGCACCCATCTCCGTCTCAGTCAGGTGTGAGACTGCCGCCTGTTGTGTCAGGCAGTGCTCATGGCTTCTGTGTTGAGCTCCACTTTGGCCTGAGCATGATCCTGCAGAAGTTACATACAGCTTAAAGGACAGACATTGTGTGTACACTCTCCACGCTCTGCTCCTTGCAGATTTTTCCCCACAGAACAAGCCATAAAGTTTCAATCTATGTAATGAAGATGCACTAGCTAAACAGGCTTTTGGTATTGTTGTGTTGATTTAACTTGAGGATGGTTTCCTGGGGCAACCACAGATTTTAGGGACTATGAACCTGTTAAATTCAAGGTTGATAATTCTGAGGGTGTAAGACAGGTTGCTGAGCCAACACGCCTTCAGAGCAAAATGTGAAAGCCTGCTTCCTTGTCAATGAGTTTCCATCAGCTAAACCAGAAAAAAAGCATAAGAGAAAGGAATTTAAGAGCAGCAAATCCACAGAAACAAAAATGAAAACTAATGTAAAAAATATTTGGTCTCCCTCCCTCATCAGGGAGTGGTAAAAAGCACAGAGCATGTCTCACGTGCCTAAGTATTATTCTTTAGACCAAGTTTAAACATGCAGATGACAGAAGCTGACGAATCCTTGTCTAACTACATGAAATGCAACAAGCTGCTGTGTTTCTGTCATGCTGGCTTTCTGAGCTGAAAGTGCATTGTTTATGTTGTGACTCATCTGAGAAGATCTCTATTAATTGTTTGTTTTCAGAGGATAAAATTAAGGAAGAAATTGTCTTTTGTCTGTAGTATTGTTCTTTCAGATGTTAGTGGCATCCTTACCATAGATTTTCATGGAAAGATGGATGAGATCTGTAGCGCTGTCTATATATGGTGCAGTCACCCAAAATGCAAAGAGGATCATCTATTATGACATTGTTGGACAAGATCTGTTTTTACCCTTGAAAGAACTTGCTTTGTTGCTGTTATATTATTACTGAAGAACTAAGAAATCTGGAGCTCACCCTCAAGTTTCCTCTTTCCTGTACCACTGCTGAAGAATTAATATCTACCAGAGCCCTGCCAAGCTCAGTGTTCATTTGACTGCCAGTAGTTTGGTTGGTTGAGTTGGGAACTTTGCTTGAGAATAGAGACATATAGTTTGGCAGTGGCTTCTGCTCCTTTCTCTTACCCTGCATAAAACAAAGATCATTAATAAGTTTTCAAAATTGAAAGAATTGCTTCTTACAAACGTACAACTTACTGAAATTATAATATCAGCACTTCTGCTTTTGAAATTGGAATTTAAATGTACTTAAAAATATCATACTGAATGTATATGAAAGCATTGTAGAAATAAATTGGGGGATTTTTTCCCTGTTGTCTTATGATAGGATATCAGAGGGAAATTAATAATTTTAAAATGTGTTGCATAAAATTTTATCTGGGACAGAAGTTGCCCTGCTCTAGAATGGTTGTGATGTGGGAGGCTTTTTCTTTAATTTTTAGTAAGTGGCTTGGGTTTTTTAGTAAGTGACTTGGGTTTCAGCAGGGTGATTATCTTACAAATTTGCTCCTAGGAGGTTGGTTCTTCCAGTACCTGTCTTTTTGCCAAGTTGTTAGCATTAAAACAGTTACACATAGGTAGCAGAGGAAAACACTTCAGCTCTTATTTTTCTGAGAGATTATAGTTGTAAAGAATTTGCCAATAATGCCTAGGTATCCTTCTATTCGAAATATTAGCCTAGCTCAAACTGACAAAAACTAAAAAGCATTAAAAAGTTAAAGTTATGTAAAGTTAAAGTTATGGGTCTGTTCAAAACTCACCATTTGGTCATGGTCCTTAAGGAAACTCAGGTTCTGGTACCTTGGAATAGAAGTTAAAAATACAGTGTCAAATTTTTTGTCTTTAAATAAATTGGTTAATGTTGATCATAACTGCATGTCTGTTCAACTGCTCAGTTTGACACTTACTGCCCAGCTCTTACACTTGCAGATTCCTTGTACTAAAACCTTCTTTTCGGTGATGGAGCCCAAGGTTTTCTTTATTCCCATACTATGTGAGGAGTGCGTGTTATTTTTGCTAAGGGAAGGTGAGAATACCACGTCCACAATGTATTCTGTGTGCAAATGCAAATAAATTACTCGTGTTCTGAGTCACTCTAGAAAACGTTTGTCCAATGCCTTGAGCAGGACACAGCATCTTGTTTTTTAAGTTACCAGTGCTTTGCTGGCAAAAGTCCCTGGTTGGAGTTCCCAGAGCCATACTGATGCAGGCAAACATCCATGGGAATATTCTAGGTAGCTGTGCTAGGAGCACATGGAGTCAGAAGACCTGAGGTTTGCTCTTCAGCTCTGTTCTATATCTGGTGTAGGACTGCAGGGCAAGTCCTCTGATTTTCTGTCATTTGCTTTCCTTGGCCTGAAATGGAGAAAATATCAATTCACCCACTATTGTAAGAGTACTGTGGGTCAAGAGGGGAAACAGTTCAGTACAGCAGGGTTCAAGGGACACCTGGGTTGACTCTGAGCTGCTTACCTGTGCTGCATCTAAGCTCATTGGACTTGTGCTGAAGCTGTACATCCTTCTGAGGTGATCTTGTATCTGCAGCACAGCCATGTACCGTGTGGAGCTAGAAGCAATGGATTTCTGTGCTGCACTCCCCTGTCCAGTGCAGATATACGCCAGGTGCAAATACAATTGAATTTATGACTGTTTGGTTTATCACTACGTCTTGGTATAACAGCATAGCACTGAGGTTGTAGAATTTTTTATCTTGATATGCAGCCATTACTTGAGCATTATCTGACTTGGGTGCTACTGGATGGTCTAATTAGTGAGAAATGTCATGGTCTCAGTGATTGCCCTACATCTACTTCAAGTCAGACCATTTAATGCATACCAGTCTTTCTCCATCACTGTTTTTGGGACAGGAATGTGGAACTGAAGGACAGTCCCCAGCAGGCTGTAGGGTAGGTAATTTGATGAATCCATCTTTAGGCATCTGGTTCTCCACAAGCCTGTCCTACCCTTTTTGCAAGAGTTTCTGTCTTCATAGTTAAAACTGGAAAGCAGAACATGCATTGGATGTGTGATGTGTTACATTACGCATGAAGGTGAGTTTGCACCAGTATTGATGACTGCCAACCCCAGGGACAGGAGCAGAGTCCTTCCTGCTGCCTTAGCTAGGGAATGAGTATGGAATAGGCTGAGCCTGTTGAGCAAGAGTCTGAGTCTCCCAGCACAACTGGGAGACAGTAACATTACCCTGGCTTTGCATGTGTCAGAGTCCTGGCATCAGCCTGTCCCTCAAGTAAGTGGAGCCAGCAAGACTGAAAATGCATCTCTAGGGAAATCAGGACTGAGATCTGTACCTCCTCGGGAAGGCTGAAGAGGGTGAAGGTTTCAGATGATTTCATTTTCCATTTAAAAAAATCATGAGAGTGATACTCTTTTTCTTCCCTTTCCTGTAGCTTGGGCAGTGGGCAGTTGGAAATGGACCTGATTTTACTTTTACCAAGAATATTCTTCTAATGCTGATGATGTATACAGAAGTATAAACATAAACACTTACTCAAGATATGTGGCAGAGACAGGATCTTAATTTTAGGTTCCTTTGGGTCACTGGTGTGTGCACAGCCAAAGCTTAGGTTGTACGTGTGCAGCAGTCTGCTGAAACACCATAACAATGGGGCAAATTCAGTAGATTTACAGACTGGGAATATAAAATTGCATTTTGGCAGAACACTCTGTTCAGCTTCCATTTCAGCCATTTCCAAGAGTATGAGAAGAGGTGATAATATCAGTGTGTCTGCAATAAATTATAAAGCTTGGCACTTTTATGTCTTTGTTGTGGAAATCTCTAAAAGCTAAAAAATATTTAGCATGCAGTTCTTTGCATTTCTTTTCAGCTTAAGCCCAGCATACTGGGAGATACTGGTACAGATTTTGTCCAGTGAAGGAGAGCAGAGATAATGTTACCCTAGAAAGGAAGGTATTAGGATCTGATCCAAGGTCCCTGCAGCAGCAAATTTTGTTTGATAGTGTTGGCTTTGGACCAAGCCCTAATGCTGTCAGGGTGTATCAGGACCACTGTCTTGATGAATGAGGCATGAACTGGAGCAAGTGACTTGCCACAATCTCCTTCCTCTCTTCAGCCTCCACAGACTCTCCAGATTTTCTCCTGTTGGACCTGGTCTGCCTGATCATCTACCCAGGCCCAAGTAGCCATTTGTGCAGTGGTTGTCAGCTCTGCTCGGTTGGGTGCTGCTAAGACACAGAAGGGGCTGGGGCCAGTTGCCCCAGAGGTGTGGTTGCTGTTTGCTGAGACCTAAACAAGGTATTACTCCTGATTCCAGAAGCCCTTTCCAACTTGTCCATTTTGAGACTCACCATATCCTAGCTTTTAGCTATATTGTGACTTCTCAGAAAGTGAAACTTACTCCTTTTTGCACTTTCGAAGTTCCTTCTCTCCTAACATTTTCTTTCAGCTGCTGATTTGGAGTACTTTCAGAAAAGAACATGCACAGAAGCACTGACAGGCAGTTCTCAGCACTGGTTTACTTCCCTCTTACTTAATGCCCCTTTCCTACTGCATTATGTTGCATCATGGCTTGAACGCTGTTGGGTTTTTATGGTAACAGTGATTTGATAAGGAGTGACTATTATTGGAAGCAATGGGATCTCCAGATGTAACCAGCAAACTCTTAGCTTACAAGGTGATTACAGTGACTGCAGCTGAGATCAGCCTCTATTCACAGTCCTCAGAACAATAAAGTCTGGTTTAACAGCAAAGGATGCTGCAGAGATTGCTGCTGTGTAATCAGGAGGACTTTTGTTGCGTAGCAGAAGCAAAAGCTCCTGAAAGCTGCTGGTTTCCCTGTGTGTTTACTGTCTCTATTGGAAACATCCAACTGGTGAATATATACCATAAGAGGAGCAGAGACTCAGTGTGATGTCTGCTGGGGCCTTGAACTCTTTTTAGGGCAAAAATGTTTGGTTAAAATTAAGTGTTTCAAGGAATCTGTTCTGAAAGCTTCTTATTTTCAAATCTAAAAAAGAGCAATCTGACATCATCAAAAGTATTTTCTAAGCACTTGGAGAGTTCTGCAGAAGGTATTAAGCAGCTATGAAAAGTTTTTAAGTGACTTTAAAGGGTTATTATTATAAAAAGTGAGAATTTTTAAAACAGTGTCCAAAATGTCAGTGTTTGTCTTTGCAGTCAGCCTGTTTGGCTTCTGTGGGATGAACTCAATTCCTCAAGTATTTGTGACCTTGCAGGAAAACAGAGTATTTCAAGTACAAATTTCCTCAGAAATTCTTGACTGTCTTGTTTTTGAGTAGTGTGGATTAGTTCCAGAGTAATTCTATCCTCTTTTTGCATCTTTCTGGTAAATACTAATGAACTTTGAATCTACTTCTTCAGGGGGATTTTGGCAAATGGATTTGCTTGCAGTATTGGGAAATATATACTGAATTTGGCAGATAATTTCTTTAACAATAGTTACAACTATACAACAATCCAAACTCTCCATGTAGACAAGTTGAACAAGAAATACTTCTACAATTCCACAATCATTTTGGGAAAATTATTCTGAATTTGAAGATTGTGATAATATAGCTCACCTCAAACCCCCATGTCTGCTTTGGTTTTGAATTAAATTTTAGTAGACTTTTTGTTTGTTTGCTATTTTTTCTGAGATAATTGAAACGTGAATGGTGTTTTTCATCTTCTTCAGCCAAAAAGCAAAAGCAGTCATGTACCCACATAGCATTGTCAAGAAGTCAAGAAATTTAGTGTTTTCCAGCCTGGACTAATAGCTGTCCCTGTTCCTCTTGTGGAATTTGCTTATCCTGTTGCATTTGGTCCAAGCTGGAGTGTGTGCAGCTGGTTGGAGAACAGTGTTTTAGCAGAATCTGGTTGCTTTAAAAGGAATCTGAGACATGCATTGGAAGAACCAATGCATTAATCAGAGTGCATGGGATTTTAGCTACTGATCTGTTCAGAAAAGGATGCTGATGGAAAGTCAATTCCTCTTAATTCTTGTGTACAAAGTTCCTGTATCAGATCAGAAATTTAATTCTGATTGTTCTTTCAAGTCAGTTTCTGCAAATTAACAGTAATAAGTTAAAACTGGTTGTTGTGCTGAGGACAGCCTCCAAATGACGACTTAGAGCCACTGAATAAACTGGACAGAAAGATTACAAGCCTGTGTTTTAAATCTGTGCCATTGAGTGATCTCAGCAGACCTGGCACAGATACTGAACTGTTTCCCCTCATTTTTCCCATTCGCCAGTTTAGTATTTTATTTGCTCATTTGAATTGTGTTGTAATCCTTCTCCCCGATGGGACCCCTCTGTCCCACCCCCCGTGGTGAGAGCCTGCTCGTCTCACGGCGCAGGCGGCCGAGGGGGTCCTGGAGTGGATACAACACGGACTCAAAGTATCTAGACACAGGAGGCTCAAACTTGCTGGAGTAATCCCGGGTTTATTGTCTGTCGTCCATCCGGGGCAAGAGAGAGAGCGAAATGCTCTGGGTCTCATCTCTTATACCAGGGGGCAGGGGTGATTAGGGGATGCAGGGAGGTCACAGCCAATGGGAAGGGGGACGGGAGAAGGTTCTCAGGTAGGAACTCACATTACACAACCAGAGGTGAGTTTTACCCTTGGGAGGTACCAAGATTTTTAGATGCACTACAACAGAATTGGTACAACTGATTTACTCTGTATGTCTTTTCATCCTGTATGTTGATGTTTATTGTGGCTTCATGCCACATGCATTGATGTAAACAGATAAGAACATCTTGATTTTATATGTCTGGGGACATGAAACTTGAAAAATGAGTGCCACTGTCAAAGATGGCCTTTGCTTAGAAGTTTGATTTGCGATTAATTAATTTGAAAAGCAAGTTCAGTGCCTGTCATTTTGCAGAACTTGACTGAGGTTAGTCTTTTGGTTTTACAAGACAAATGATGATATGCACTACAAATTCATCTGGCAGAAATATGGTAGTTATTTTCTTCAAGTCAAAGAAAAAGATGCCTAGAGAGGCTTTTTATAGAGGAAAAATTTCAGGTGTTTAGATAAAACCTTTTTATTTGACCACAAGAGGGTATTGCAGTTTCAGTTATGCAAGACTTTAACTAATGTCTGCCTTTATGTGCTTTGACTTACTTTTAAAATACATCTTTCTCAAAACTGATCATTTATATTAGGTAGTAGTTAAGAAAATCAGATTTTGTATGCCACTATTTGATGTCCTTGTCCAAGGGCAATTTCTGAGTTGATTTTTCCTAAAATTTATAGTACAAGTTTCTTAAAGTTTAAGAGGTTCCTTTCATTGGACAACAGAGACTTAGACAGTTACTCTGAAACACTAAAAAACTTCATGGAAATGGCTTGCAAGGATATATCAGTCACAGAAGAGAAATAATAACAGGAGATTAATGTGTTGCTGCTTTGTCTGGAAGTGCCCATTGGTCCAGGAATGGAGCTGGCACAGTCAGTGAGACTCTGATCTGATTTTTCCATGTGGTTTTACTTGAAGGAATAAGTTCTGAAATCTTTTTTAGCTCATTTGTGTTTCCCAGTTTTCTCATTTACACACAGTTCTTCTATAGTATACATCCAATTTTGGTTTGCACGTTTTTTATAACTCAATACTGTGTTGAAGTACTTCCCTACAAAAGTTCTGTATTCTGAACTTTAAGGGCTGTGTTACCAAATGTTCATGCTATGCTTTTGTGCACTTCAGACCATGGGAAAGGGACCTAGAAGGTCCCTCCTCACTCCTAGATCTACTTCTGAATTTAGGAGAAGGTGCATGGGATGCCTGCATGTCTCTCAACAAGCTTGCCTTGTAAAAGGAGAGCAGCCATATCACACTATCTGTGAGGATCAAGTTTCTGGGGGTTCTGATAGTGGCTGATGGACAACAAAGCAATTTTCAGACAAGAAAGTTTGTGAGTTATTGCAGAGATTTAAGTAGCACACACATTTAAAAACCTGGGTGCAGTGCATATGTTTTATGCAAATAAGAGGCAGGAGCAAAAGCTGGAGGAGAGGGCAGCCCTCTGGAGACCAGCTTCTCAGAGCAGGTCACAATTCAGAAGATCTCTGTCACTTCATGACGAGTGAAGAGATCTCCATGGAAATCTTTCAGCACAAGCAGTGTTTCTTGCCTGCCTCAAATAGTGGCATTTGACTTGTTATCATCATCTTCCTCAAATGAATGAAGATAAGTGAGTCAGGGTTGCAGGCTGGAAGGAGGGCCGTTGCGATGGCTGGCAGAGCAGGCTGTGAGGTGGTCAGTCAGAGGACTCTGAGCACCCAGCAGAGAAGTGACATTTGGCAGCATTAACACAGTGCTTTTTCATCAGCCCTTGGCATTAAGCACCGAGGGCTCTGGAAAGCCTGGAGATGGCATGTCCTCCTGGTGAGCCGTATCTTGGTCTGGCAGGAGCAGAATGCCTTGGGTCTCTGCAGGGAAAATGAAAACAAATCCAGCCAGCTACCACTTTGGAGTCAAACTCCTTTTAAGCAATTTATGTAGCTGATTGATTAAAAGCATCATGTATTAAGGTTTTCTGTGGGTTTCTTAAAAATATACTTATTTCATGTCTTAATGGAGTTCTGCTGATAGACCCTGGTGAGTGGAGTGTCTGTTGCGTTGGCAGCGTACAAATACCATGGGGGAAATGTCTGCTTCCAGTGACACAGTCTGACACTTCAAAATAAAACTAAAGCTGTAGTACAGACTGCAAGAAATCTGTTGTGATTTTTTTTTTATCCCCTTATAAAGGTTGCAAAATATGTTAACTACTGATGTGCAGTTTTCCCTACTTGAAGCAAAAAATATTTATTTGGGCTGGTGTGTGAGTAGGAATTTGAAGATACCTGGCTTTAGGAAAAAGAACTATAAATATATGTAGGGTTCCTCACTGGCTGAGGAGTCTTTTCAGTTGTTATTTCACATAATTTCAGTCTTAGAGGCCAGATCCCGTCAGGATGTGCAATATTGTATGGAGAAACAAAGTTATCTTCATTAGTCAGAGTTGAGTTTAAGTCACATCCTCACCACAGCAGGGAGCTCTGGTAACTGCACAGTGGAGCTTGGCTTTATTCTGTTCATCCTCACTGTTGGCTCACACAATTTGTTAACAGGTCTAGGAGAGTTGTGGGGTATAAAGTGGTTGAGTACTTCTGCAGAGGCCATTCTTTGTGCTGCCTAAGCACCCACGGCAGTGGTTTGGCCTGTGAGTCTGGCATGGCCCTGATTCCTGCACTCCTGGGGTCTGCAGATGCTCACAGAGTCAGCTTACAGGGCAAGGAAACTGCTTCACAAACACTGCAGAGGCTTGATTTTCCCTCTCTGCTACCTGTAGCACTGTAGTACTTACAGAAGTATTTTGTCCTGTGAATTACAACAACCCAGCTGTGTGTTATTATGTGTTTCAATGCTCAAAATGTTCTTCTGCTTTTGGGGTTTTTTTCATTGCATTATTCTGTGGTTTTTACCTGTCTCCTCTGGCAGCTAAGGGTATAATTTATTGATCTGCATTTTGGTACACCGAGTGTTTCATTTACCATCTGCTCACCATATTCATAAAAGACATTAACTTTATGTTTTTATGTGAGAAACCAAAAATTCTTTGCTGCAAGTTATGCAAAGTTTTCAAAGCAGAGTACCTACAATTTATTTTAAATTGTGTCTTACCATTAAATGAAAGGCAGCACCTGGCTTTTAAAATGTTCTTCCCCTTTGTTAGTTTTGTTGGCTGAGAACTGAGCTACTTCCGCTTAGTTTTTTTCAACTGTCAGCATCTTAAATTTGAAAGCTTTGTCTGAACATGTCAATCACAAGCTTTGTCTATTTTTCAGTAAGCCTTTTAGCATCTTCATTGAGGCTATTAGTGTGGGTTTCCTTTTTAACTGTAGATGCTAGTGTTAAATCACACTTCAGGCTGATGTTTGTCTATCTCTGACTGTTGGGAATTGGAAAGAAGTTCTCCCTGAAGGCAGGATGTTCCCCTAATTAGATGTAAGGCGGGGTTGTAGAATCTGGTGGCAGATTTCCAGAGATGATGAGAATTCAGGTCTGAAGGGACCCCAAGAGGTCTCTAGCCCAACCTGCTCCTCAGAGCATGAGCTATGAAATCAGACCAGCTGGTCAGGACTTTATGCTGTTGATCTTGAAAGCCTCCAAGGAAGGAGATTGCAGAACCATTTGGGTAATGCATCTCACCTCAGGGTTGCCATTGTGATGAAGATGTTTTGGCTTATATAAAGTCAGAACCTCTCCTGTTTCAACTTGTGCTCATTTTATTTAATTCCTCCACTGAACAATGCTCTAAGCAGCCTGACTGTGTCTTTCCAATAATGTGATTGCAGTTACTGGGACTCTGCTCTTTGGTCTCCTCCCAGCCTTCTCTGCTCCAGGTTGGGTAGAATTTGATCACCGGTTGCATTGTCTGTGTTACACAGATGTGTCAGACCTTTACCTGACCGCTCTGTTCTCTGTCCTTGCCTGATTTGACCATTTACACTGCTCAGGCCCAGCAGGGCAGATGCTCCATGAGATCTAGAAAGGAAAATAACAGAGTTATTTTGGAGTGCACAGTCCATTTTGGCATTCTTTTCTTAGATCACCTGCATGATCATGCATACATGTAGCAACCTTCATGTTCTGTTTACAGTTCTAATAAACATCTATGCTGTGGAAATTTGTCCTGAAGAATTTTCTAAACTAGAACATTAATTGGTTTAATAACAAAAGGATTAATGCAGATAAGTTGAAGATAAATATACATTCAATATTTAAATGGTGAATAATTTTATTTTTATAAAATCTGCCATTGACCCTGAGATTATCTCAGTTGCTCAGAGGATGGTGCTAATACCACCAAGTTTGTGAGGTCATTCCCCATATGGGCCATTTACTTAAGAGTTGAACTCTATAATCCTTGTGGGTCCCTTCCAACTCAGAAGATTCTGTGAACCTGTAAATTATACATCACAGGCACTCAGTAGGGGGAGAGCATTTCGCTCTTATTTACAATACCAGAAAGTACATGATTGTTTTGAGGGACAGGTTCCTGTAATCATCCATATATGACTTGTCCCATTAAAATCAATATTAAAACTCTTGTTTAATGGCAGCAACTCCATGTGTGTTTTGAAATCTCAAACCTGTCAGTTTGTAATTTCCTCACCTTTTGGTCAAAGAAGTAGATTTTATTCAAGCAAGATGTCTATTGGATGAAATGGATGTTTTGCTCCCCTCTGAACATCCTGGCTGGAGGGACATCTTCGACCTTTAAAGGGTATGCCAGGAAAGGAAATTTTTTCCTTCCTGCAACTGATTCTAAGACAGTGTTGCTGGCAGTATTTTGGGTTTGTTCTTTTCTTGTTATGCAAATTGGCAAGATTTTATTCCAAAGTGTAAGCATTCCTTATCCCTTAGAGATTTCAGCCATACTTATTTGTCCTTCAGTTGGCTTGCCTTTATACTTGGCCAGTGGTGCAGAAAGCATGGTCAGGGGAAGTGTCAGTGTGGGATGGAGTCACCATTTGGGAGGATCTTCTATCTGGTGAGGCCCTTGTGGGTTTTGGCACAGAGAGTGGCTGGAGATGCCAATTAGGAGGCAGAATAGAGTTAGGTATGGTTTTAATATCAGGGTATTTGCCCCCCATAGAAATTATCATAAAAAACAATAACTACAGGACATCAGTGGAACATTACTCCTGAAATCCAGGGGTAGGTGATCCCCACAGAGCCCCCAGCACAGTGCTTGCTCACCTGCAACACAGACAGCTGCAGGTTTGTGCCTCTTCTCTCCCAGCTCCCTTCCATCATGTGAAGATTGCCTGGGTGAGGGGAAAGCCAAGCTTTTTATGTAGTGCTCGCTGCTATAGAAACCACGAGCTCTGTGACAGCGCTCGGCTGTGTGGGCACAGCCAGCGACAGCTCCCAACCAGGGGACGCTGAAACTGCACTCTCAGTTTTCAGTATCCTCAACCAAAACCTAGCTGCCTTCTTAACTGGTGTGTGTCTGTCACTCTGCAACGTGCAGGTCTTTAACAAGGAAAGATGCCAAATGTCTGAAGCTGTTCACACTGTAAAAAAAATCTACAGCTCCCTGCTATAAAGGTTTATCTGCTGTTTCAAGTCTGTTGCAAGGTGTGGATGACATCAAGCCCCTAGTGATTGGAATTATGGCTGTAACTTTCCCCAGAAAGTCGCTTTCAGCCACCTCTGTGTCTCTCCAAATATAAAGAGCCAGAATTAAAAGAGGTGATACATGAAAAATATTGCATTTGCTATGCTTTTCATGACAGTGTTAAGATAAAAAAAGTCTATAAAATTACTGATAGATGTTTCTGAAGTCAGAGGAAGATGGAGCTGTTGGCTGTGATGGGAGAAAAGTAATCTGGAATTGATCTTTGGTCAATAGGACAATGCTGCTAATTCTAGTAAGTCTGGCTTTAGGAAAAAAACCAGAACAAGAAGAGAGAAAACAAATGTAGAGCATCCCAAAGACATCTAAAGTGCACTCTGCAAAAAAGTAAAAAGGAAATTATATTCATGAAATGTTTTAAAGTAGTAGATATGGTTGCTTCTGTCTGGCTTACAAGATCTCTGGAGGAAGAAAAAGGGATCTGCTTCTTTAAAACCCAAGTTCTGAATGTTATGGTTGAGGCAGTATCTCAAAAACATTTACCTGAGAGATGGATCTGAAAAAAAAACGTAACCTGATTAGTACAAAGAAACCAACATGGAAGATACAGTACAAAATAAAAAATTTAGAAGCTGAACTTGTTTTGGGTTCCAAAACTTTCTTCTTGGAGGAACTTGTGTCCCACTGGCAAAGTATTGAGTGGGGCAGAGGTGAGGCAGGGACTGGATGGAGACTGGGGAGCTGCTGTGGAGGGGAAAGATGAGAGCTTTGAATGCTGACCTCTACTTCTGCAAGTTATAAAATAATTTTGCAAGCTTTTGTCTTGCTTTATCCAGCTCTCCTCCTTTCAAACACTAGCACAGGCTATGCTATATGCACAGTAGCCTCCCCTTTGAGGAAGAAATGTCACAGCAAAATGTTGGTGCTTCTCCAGGTCCCATTGAGTACCTTCTGAAAACCCAGGGTGTCCTTGAATTTGGAGATAAATGGAACTCAGAACACAGACAGCAGACAGATGGGATTGACAAATTGCATACACCAGCCATTGGAAAGTGCACACTGAAAGAGAGGTGATGGCTCACCACCTCTGCTTTGAAATCAGTAGCCAGTCAGGTTCTGTCAGAAGTAAAGATGCTCTGGAAATACTGGAGTTGATCCCATACTGGGATAAGGATTCTGAACAAACTGAAAAACCAAGTCTTTCCAGAAATACTGCATGATTTACACACCCACTTCTTAGGTTTGAATAATCTAGGATTATTGCTGCCAGACAAACTAAATTGGTGCTGTCATAAGCTCTCAAAACCAGGCAATAGCAAAACCAATTCAAGGGGTTTTGTTTTCTTCTTTGATTTTTTAGGGCTTTGCAAGCTGTGAAAATGATGAAACACCTAAAACAGTGTGAGAGAAAAGACTGTTTGAGATTATACTAAGTAATCTTTCTGGTGGGAAGCACGCAATTATGTACTGTCAGCACATGGAACGTGATGGGACTATAATTTTACCTATGTTATTTCCCTGGGTTGCTAAAGAAACCATAATAAGAAAAGTCAAAGTCCTCCTGTTCTTATTGATCTTGTTAACAAATTCTCACAAGCAGCATTGACTGTTGTAATTATTTTCTCTTCTCTAAGCCAATATCTGATGTCACACATACCACTGTCAAAGCCAGCTGGTTTGCCAGTGCTGAAATCTAGCATAAAACACTGTAAAAAAGGCTACACTGGAGGAAGTGGAACGAGCATATGAATGCTTTCCTTTGCTGTCTCTTTACAAGCTTTATTGATGTTGTCAGAAACAAGAAAAAAAGGCTTCCAAGTCCGAGAAAATTAATCCTTGTCAATTTTAAGGTGGATGAGATGATGATGAAGATCTCCCTGATGGCTGGCAGCATCCATGGTGTGTTCAGGGAAGAGCAGGAGCTCTTTGGAAACATTTCTTTCCAGCCATAGACCAAGGCAGGTTTGCTTGGCAGCCTTGGGAAATAACAGTGGTGTACCTTGGATGGATTCTGCAAGACACAAGACAGGGAGGGCAGTGACTGGGACCTGCTGGAGGACAAACAGTGGTAGCAATAGGGAAGAAGGAAGAAGGACTTTTCATCCCCAGTCCCTGTGGAACTAAGCTAAGCAGAACATAGCTAAGCAGGTGGTTGAAGGCTTCCTCCTCACCCTTCTCCTCATTCTCCTCCTCATTTTTCTCCTCCTCCTCTTCCTCCCTGGCAGAGTCCCATAGGGAGTGGGGTCTTTGGGGCTCTGTGGGGAGTGAGGTAATGAGGCCACACCAGGGGAATGAGGGAAAGCTGATCAACTGGCACATCCTGGAGTTGATGTGATTTTTTTCCCATGTCCTTTTCTGTTGTTTGAAAAGGGGTGCTCTCCTCCTGAAGTATCTCCATGACCCATGCAATCATAATTTTTTATCCAAAAAACTGAGTTTACAGATAAAGAGAGTGATGGCTAAAATGAACCTATAAACTGTAGTGTCTGCAAACACATCCCATGCTATTTTTGCAGCCTCTTGTAGCAGCTGCCTGTAGCCCCACAGTTGGGAAGTTCTGCTGAGTAGCAGATGCAGAGAAAAGAGACTTATTATTACTGTATAAATAAAAGCCCAAGCAGGACAGAAAGAAGTTTATTCTTTAGAGGAAGCTGAGCTAAAAATTTGGGCTTTGGCTGTGTGACTAGAGAGGTTTTTAGTCATTTGGAGTATGAAAAGCAAGGGTGTTCCCTTCCTCAGATTTTTGTGTTCACTTGCAAAGTCTCTGTCCCCTGTTGCCCTCAGATGATGAGCAGTGACATATGGATGTTGTAGAAGCTGGGACTGGGAAGGCAGTTCTCTCAGGTCAGGAGAATGCATGGCATTGACAAGTGTAATGCACCTATGGCTGGTCTGCATCTCTGGTTGGGAAGATAAAAAAAAATATTGTTCAGATTTATTTGGGGTGGTGAATGCAAAGCAAGCCTTGGAAGAGGCTTTTGGAAGCTCTTGGTGAAAGCTGAGAGGTGGACATGCAAGCAGAAATGTTAAAGTTGGGTTTGTGTCCATGTGGTTGTTTGCCTTTTCTAAAAACTAATGGAA